CCCCCCCCCCCCCCCCCACGTTCACAAGCATATTGGATCAAGATGTCACTCAAAACATGTTCGTCGCTCAGGCCACTCCTTCGAGACCTATAGAGCTCATTCCAAATACCGTAAAATTTGGAAATTTTCGCTTCCATCTCTCACCATTTACTTGAGATCATGTCGTTGGTGCGGTATTGGCCGCGACCCATCGCCTCAAAAAATTAATCCCGATAGAGATCCAAAAATCTGAGTACGTTTGATTATGCCGTAAAAAATGGAATACAATTAAAATGTGTTAGAAAAAAGTTTTAAAAAATGAAAAATATTAAATGGGATAACCGAAAAAAAATTAAATTATAAGGAAACATACCAATCCGAGGATCCCCGGAGGTGTCGATATAGGCTTTGGCTAGTGCACCTTCCATCTCCTCCATCCATTTGGTCACGGCTTCGTTGTGTTTTCTCTTTGAGGGTGCCGGCTCGAAATCGTGGTGGGTTGGGATTGAGGAGGTGATTCATATTGGGTTTCGAGAACGTAGTCGTTCTCGTAATCGGGTTGGGGTTGGGTGGGTGACGTAGGAATTTGGCTCGGTTGGAACCAATTGATGTAATTGTACATAGGGTTTGTTGGAGAATTGGGAGAATTTAGATTATTTGATTCAATTTATGGTCGATAAAAATTAAAAAAATATTAGAACATGAGTAAAAAATAATAATTGGAGGAGAAGATGAGAAGTAAAGATGTAGAAATGAAGAGAAGAAGAAGGATGTGGCCTCATGTGGGAATTGGGTTTAGAATTATGAATAATTTATAGAGGCCGGTTCCATAGCCACTGGAATCCAGTGGTTACGGAAGCCACTGCCCCCCTACGGAGCTCCGTTCATAAAATTGATGATTCCTACCTCCCGGTAAACCGACCCGCCAAGTCTCGACCCAAACTACTCCCGCCACGTACGTCAATTGCACTTCGTAAGTATAATTGACTTTAAAATCAAAATTTTTGACTCTATACTTACGAGATGCAATTAACGTAAGTGAGGGGAGTAGTTTGGGTCGAGACTTGGCGAGTGGGTTTACCGGGGGGTTAGGAGGAGTAGAATCATCAATTTCATGAACGGAACTCTGGGCAGTGGCTATGGAACCAGCCTCTAATTTATAAGGGTGAATGAAAGTTTTTTGTATTAATTAATGGGCCAAACAGTCGAATTTTTTACAAGGACGTTCAAATCTGGTCACGAATCCGGTCCTTTATTAACTGAGAGTTCAAATATTACAGATCTAAAAATTGAATTGAACACTCGCACAAAATTGTTCTCAAATTCAATGTAAACACTCTAAAAGGAAAAGGATTGAACAATCTAGGCTGCCGGGGAATTCGATTCCCCGATTTATTCGGATGACCGATTCAAACGGTTCCGCAAACTGCGGGAGTCAGTCCCGTCGCCGGCCTCCCTTTGCAGGCGGCGTTCAGGAGATGCGGTTTGACGTCGGCCAGCCGGACGGGTTTGAGGCAGAACTCCTCGGCGCCCTCCGACAGGCAGCTGCGGATCCTCGACGGCACGTCCTCCGACGACACCACCACGACGGGGATGTGTTTGAAGGCGGAGCAGCCCTTGATCTCCCGGAGCAGATCGTATCCGGTCATTCCCGGCATGCTGTAATCGGTGATGATCAGGTTCACCTCCGCCTCCTCCACCACCCGGAGGGCCTTCGTCCCGGAATCCACCACCGTCACGGTGACCCCGTCGCCGGAGCACGCCGCCTTCACCAGCCTCTCGATCAGCTTCCGGTCGATGAGGCTGTCGTCGACGGCGAGAACGTGGAACTTTTGTTGTTGATCCGCCGCCGATGCCATTCCCGAAGTTGGGTTGAGATTAATTTGAGCTGGAAGTATATTGATTCAAGTAATTGAGGAGAACTTGGGGATTGAATCGGCGTTGGGGAGATTGGGAGGGAATGAATGGAGTACAAATATATAAATAGGATGAAGATGAGAAACATATTGCGGTGGAGTGAGAATCTGAAAGTGTTAGGCAAATGGAGAAGATGGTTATTTGGGATCGGTAAGATCTTCTGGTTGGGATTCTTGATTAGGACATCCAGCCATGTAGCAACCTGGACTTTTCATAAACCAAATTTCTAATATACTTAAATCTTTTTATCCGCTAGGACCATCAACAATGACAAGTATAAAAATGGAATGTCATACGTTGACGTGATATATTTCAATCAATAAAAAGCAATTCAATCAGCGTGTGGCAAGTCAATGGAGTGGCAAGTCAATGGAGTGACATGTCTTGCAATGGCAAGTAATTGATTTTATCAGTTTTTATGATTTTTCAAATAAAAATACTTCTATTCAAATTAGATTACAATTTAAAATTATGAAGTAAAACATCATATTTTTTAAAATCATTTTATTTTCAAATTGGTATAAGAATAAAAAAACTAGAATGTACTCCGTGTATTTTTTAAAAAAACTATTTCAAAAGTTTTACTAAACCGGATGTGATAAAAATATTTTATTTTATTAAATAACCAATGAAAGAAAACGGGTAAACAAAAATGATTGAGAGCTAAGCTAAGCTAAAATTTTATTTTATTAAATAAAATTGTACGGAGTAATCTCTAACAGGACAGATGGAGTTTATTTTATTTTTTTAAAAAATACAATACCTTATTTCTTTCTTAAAAAATATTGAAAAAAAAGAAATGGGAGATGGGTGCCTCGCAAGTGCCATGGCAATCATGGAGGAATGCTAATGACATTCCACGATTTTGTGATGTGGCAGGCGTGGCTGAGGATATTTCTCGCCATTGCCATTGCTTTAAATAGTACTTGAATAACGTCTAATAGTGATATCAATGTCTGGTAATGATGGATATTTACTTTGAACAATGTCTAGTGGCGGTAGAAAATTATTTGAATAATAATCGGTGGACAATAACCAGTGTACTACACTGGGGAAAAAACATATGGTAATACATTGAAAAAGTTATGATATTTTAGTACTATTTAGATAAATTTACCTTTTCATAAAGGATATAGTCCCCATCGGGCTAGTCTGGATCAATATTAAAAAAGGATCGGACTGATCTCGTCCTAAATAATACCAGTCTTTTCAAGAGATCAATTCGATCTCATTAGTCTAGTCCTTTTAGCTTATCTCTACTACTAGGGCCCCTCCGAATTGACAGAACTGGTTGTTTAGATTGTGATAAGAATGAAATCTACACTTCGTAATCTCCACATTTCCAATTATTTACGAAGAACACTCAAACTGGGTCTGTTAAGTAAAATAAATGAATAAGAGAATATTCCTTTGAAGATGCTCTCATTCTTCCTATAAAAGAGAGTGTCTACCCTCAATATTAAGGAGGCCAATTCATTCTCTCTCCCTGCCCAATTTCCTTTCTCTCTCTAAAATAGTATGTATTTTATTTCTTCATAATTGTCTCGCAGAGGTTCTATACTTGCATAATTTTCTCGTAGTTTAGTTCACATGAGATTTGACTTTTTATAGTGCTCGAACTTTTCGTTCCAAAATTATTTATTTTATTCGAATGACGTTCTGAATATTGAGACTTTTAAATTTGATTCTATTAGTTTGAAATTATTAAGTCCAACTTATACATTTAAAATTTATATAAAAAAATTTATAAAGTAAAAGATGATAAAAGTTTTATATTTTTTATCCAATGAACAAAAAATACAAATAAATAAAAAGTATCAAGAAATTGTAGCTTAGTAGTAGAGAAGTAATTTATTTTAGAACAGAAACGATAGTTTTTTATTTGAATATATAAAGATATTTTTTTTTCATTTAAATAAAGAAAGGAGTCGTTTACATTATTTTTCACTTGTGCACAAATCTCTAATTTTCCATCATTAGAAATACTCCCTTCGTCCACAAATAAATTTCCTGTTCACTATTCATAGGGTCAAACTTTATTCACTTTATTAGCGTATTTTTGTCACCCATTTGATAAAATAATATAGTCATGTCAACTCTAGTTTTGTAGATCTTTTGATATAGTTTTTTAATATTTAATTTTTATTTTTAAATTTTACACCATTTTTCATAGAAAATGATTTGAAAACAACTTCAGTCAAACATCATAACGCGCAACGAAAAGTTTATTTGTGGACGGAGGGAGTACTAGAATTGCAAATAAGAAATTTACAATACTTTACAAATTAACATTTATAAACCCGCTAAAAGTAAACGGGTCTTAAATAAATTAACTAAAATAGTAACATACTCCGTATAATAGATGAGTTGGGGTCCGGTTATGTGGCCATTGTGTTTGAGTGACTACGAAGAACATTGGACACCGAGGAGAGATGGTAAAAACAATCAATTTTATGAATAGAGTATCGCAAGTGTCTCAATCAGAAAAATGTTGATTCTGGCCTTCCAGACCATGGAACTGGAGTGATAGTAAATATTTGATCTTTATTGCGGAGTATAATTATATTTGTGAATAGTGACTCTAGCATTTTTCTCTCATACTTCCTCTATTTTAAAATGTTTTAAACATTTACTAGTTGAGCTTCCTGAAAACTTTTTTTTTATTAATGTATATTTATTGATCATTTGTTAAAAAAATATATTGATGTATCTTATTTTGTATTGTAAAAATATTTGATGTAATTTTTAAGTAATTTGTACTTTTTTCTATATCAATTTATAGATAAAATATTTTTAAAAAATATGAAATTTTATGCATCGTTCAAACAAAGTAAATGAAATTAAGACGAAAGGAGTATCATAATACGGAATAATTGTATCTTGTATATTTTTTTATTTAAATTGCGTGAAATTTAAATGAAGGCATTTATTTGAGAAAGGAGGGAGTACATATGAGTGGACTGCCCTAGCTAGATTTCTCTGCTTTTTTAAATGGCCTACCTGATTTTTATTCTACATTTATGGATCAAAAGTCCGTGCTTCCAAATTTCTCCCTCGCTCATCTCAATAAAGTCTTACTCCCTTCTTTTCTAAATATTTACCACATTTTAAAAATTGAGATTAAATATTAAATTTTTTTAAATTTATTTTATTTAAAATAAGTTATAAAATAAAAAAATAATATATATATATATATATATATATATATATAAATTACATGAAAACTTTTTCAAAATAAGAAGTGTAAAAAATATTTTATTTTATCAAATAATCAATGAAAATATACAAATAATAAACAAAAATTTTCATGACTGTTGAAAAAACAAACGTGGGAAACATTAGACTGCTTTCAAAGAAACAAATTTTTTCCAACTTAATAAATTTAATTCACTTCCTAAATTATATTCAAAAAACAATAAAGTAATTATATGAGTAATAGATGAAGGAAGATAATCATCTGAAAATAGTACAGTAATATTTATAAATAAATAAAGAGACATTATTTTTTTAATTTAAAGATAAAAAAAGACACTTTTTGCATAAACAATTTTTATTTGTATAGGGCAAGTCAGGTATTAGCACGTTTGAAAAAAGAATTTGTGGGGTTCACTGAGTGAGGGTACCCCACCCTCTGTACCTGGGTGCTTTATTTATTTAATAGGCCCGCTATATTTTCACAGTACTCATATTCGTGTTGTTTGTGCCCCACCACGTGAATTCATGTGCCTTGTGACTTTTGAGATGTCCAATTTTCATTATTTTTCATCAAAAATTCTTTATTAAACAAATGAACCCCCCACCCCATCTCTCACATTTGATCAGACGGTAATTAAAAAGAGCTAAATTGGACTTTGATTACAGATTGATAGTAGGAGTAAAAATGCACCTTGTACATGCAAAATCTTTGTGCATAGCCGCTTCTCAGTGCAATTGTTAGGAATTGAATTCGTGTTTGATACAATTTGATATATATATATATACACACACACGGTAAGTCTAAAATGACACCAGTGCTATTGGTGTCATTTGCTTACACCAGTTCGTTTGGAGTACTTACGGTGCTCCGTTTGTAAAAACGACGGTTCCTACCCCCCCCCCTAACCCTCCCCCTAAACCCCGCACCCCAGCCCCCCCTCCCGCCCACCTCCCTACCCTGGCAGAGGGGGGCGGGAGGGGGGGCTGGGGTGGGGGGTTTAGGGGGAGGGTTAGGGGGGTAGGAACCGTCGTTTTTACAAACGGAGCACCGTAGGTACCCCAAACGAACTGGTGTAAGCAACTGGTGTCATTTTAGACGCTCCCATATATATATGAACCCCCATCTCTGAACCCCATCTCTCAGACTTGATCGGACGGTAATTAAAAAGAGCTAAATTGAACTTTGATTACAGATTGATAGTAGGAGTAAAAATGCACCTTGTACATGCAAAGTCTTTGTGCATAGCCGCTTCTCAGTGCAATTGTTAGGAATTGAATTCGTGTTTGATAAAATTTGATATATATATATATATACACACACACACGGTAAGTCTAAAATGACACTAGTGCTACTGGTGTCATTTGCTTACATCAGTTTGTTTGGGGTACCTACGGTACCTACTGGTGGGGGGTTTAGGGGGAGGGTTAGGGGGGGTAGGAACCGTCGTTTTTACAAATGGAGCACCGTAAGTACCCCAAACGAACTGGTGTAAGCAACTGGTGTATAAGTAACTGGTGTCATTTTAGACGCTCCCATATATATATATATCTGTGTGTGTGTGTGAATTACATGAGAAAGTTCTAGTCACAGTAGGAGAAAAACTATGGTAACAATATAATAGGAAGTAATATAATAATGAAAGCAATAAATAATAATATTCTATTTCCTAATACATGTAACACCCTAATCCGTCCAGGTCTGCAGCCCCTTTCAGATTAAAGTATTAACTTGGTAATCGTAAAAATTTAAAATATTTCAAACACTTTTATTTATCACAATAATATTTTTCATAATATAAACAGTACGGAGTTTTCAATATTGCGGAAGCTTAACAATCATAATCACAAACATAATTTATTTATGTTCTTTAATTCAAAACCATCACATCCATTCCGACAATCTCGCCTCCGTCTGCCTCCAGGATCACGTCACTTCATTAACCTGCGTGTAGCAAATAAAACATACTACACGCTCAGCGTTGAAGCTGAGTAAGCATATCTAATGCATCGAACATCCATATAAACTGAATCTAAATTCATAATCAAATCATTTGATATCATGCACATAATGTTCAGTTCAGA